CCTCGTCCAAGGGGCATGATCTGATGAACTTGATATCGGCCCCGCCGCCTTGTGGGTCACGCTTTGGCTATCCAAAGGCTTTGGATTCCTCAAGAAATTTCATCTGCCTTGGTCTGGGTAACCTGGCAGTATTCCACCCACATGCAAATCATGGAACGTTTTTCTTTTTATAAAGATTAAAGTACCATGATTTGTTTGGCACACAGTCTGGATTCAGACGTGTGAAGATATAAATACATATAGGTGTAAATTCGACGAACTTATTACCTGTTTAGACGTAGTACGTAGGAGTTGTCTTACGTCTAGATTAAAAATCTTCGTCGAATTCGACATTTATTCATCGAATCATTGATATGGATCAAACAAAAGTTTCCAAACAACAAGATTTATCGATGAATGTTTACAGCAACTCTGCCAACCCTTGATTATACACGATACTTGAACTCACGAGCCTGTGACCTGTTAGAACAGATGAACGACACGCAGGTCTAACCCCTCTGAGCTGGAATAAAACGGCCGTAAAACTGCGCTGAGCTGCGTCATTATTGGTAACCTTTTGGTCGATATACACTGGTTTCAGTTTCCGAAAAAACGTGGAATTATGTGAAAGACCTCCGATGAAGACATAAAATGACCCTTACTAGTTGCTCGAAATCCCGTCAATTGTACACCCCGAGACTACCGCGCTGAACTTCAGCTAGTTTCTGCGAAGACAATGAATTCAGTAATGAGGGACCACAGACCAAACACTCATTAGAGAGTGCATCAACGTCTTCCAGCCTACGTTTTTCAGCATGATTGAACGTCATTCCGCATAACCGACAAGAACTCCGATTTTGAACGACCAATCAAAATTCAATAGAACTATAAACAATAAATCCAGTAATACTTTAGTGGGAGGAGTCTTTCACGGTGAGCAGCGCCACCTTTGTAGTCAACAGTTGATTGCATTTACGATGAGCCACTCAGTGGCATCCTAAAAGAAATTCCCAATAAGATTTGTATGTTCTACGATGGATTATCACGTAAGAATAGTCCCAAGGAATGAAGACCTTAATAGCACTTCAAAGACAAATTGCCATTGGTATTTTTAGATTTATCAACAATCTCCCGTTTGATTTTGGGCTCCTCAAGGAATGGTACTGCATCATCATTATTCGGTGTTTTTCTTTCTTCAGTCATTGAAACACACAGGAACAACCTTCATTGCGTCCAAGCGGGAAGCAACCGGAATCGCTTGCAATACAATATAAGCGAAATTAGACTGAGTGACGTTTTCAAGACAAACATCCTGAAGACAACTATGGGAGTCGATTTAGAACCGCGTACAGATGGGGAAGAACCAAAACAATTAGTTAACGCATAAATGTCACTGCTTATAGGCCAAGAATGGGGCGTCGTAGTGTACAGATAGGAGGCGGTTCACCATGGACTGTTGAATTACTGGATAGCACAGCATGTCTTTACGCAACGTGCTGAATTCACACGATGGTTTGAAGGATTCACGAAATATCTCACAGAAATCCATTGAACAAACTAGGGGAACCCATCAAAATCTTCTTCGGAAAGTTCCTTCGCGCTTTCTAGTTCTTGTTGTTCTCGTTCTCTCCGCTCCTATAAAAAGAAAGAAATATTGTTTCTGACAATTCTGCAGCTCAGCAATATATGAAACAAGATTTCTGCAAAACAGGCACTCATTTTCGTTGTTTTAGTTTTGATTAATGAATAACTTCATTTTAGGCTACTGTCTTTCAGTGGACCATTTGGTCGACATTTGAAGTTAGGCTACATGGGAAAGTTTAAAGCTAAGAGCACTGTCAAAACAAAGTACAGAAAGTAAGCAGACGAATGATCGCCATTGGTTGCGATCTCATTGACAAGCACGAACAAACAGTGATTGGGTTAGAAACGAGGTGCCGATCAGGGAGCTAGGTTCCTACTCAGGGTTTTTACACCCTCAATACCAGATCGTAATTGGGATACTCTTGGCTTTTCGCAACCTGTTATTTGCCTCAGCAAGCAGCGCACGCCAACGAAAATATTCGGCACAAACAATAAGAAAACTGTACCACTGCAAAAAGATACCAGAAATCGATATATATATATATATATATATATATATATATATATATAT